GGGGGAGATTGGAGCTAATGTTGATGGTGGAAGTGTGTTTAAAAACTTTCAGCTAGTGGGAATCTCTGGGGGCTTATTCTTAATCATTGGAGTCTTTTGCAAGCATGAAGTTCACCCTTTAGATCCTGGAGTAAAGACAGAACATCTAATTTCCTTTCTAGAACCTCTTGAAAAGTTGAACATGCAGCCTAAGCTAGTTTTTATTTTTATTTTAATGAAGGCATCCTAAGCTAGTAAAATTGTATCCATTTTTATGAAAAAGGTTTCTAGAGATTTGTTTTGGATAATGGTGGTGTCTGGGATAGCTTCAATGCGTCCCGACTATTCCACCAAATACCTACTACTTGAAATAGGTTCCTAGAGATTGTTGCTCCAATGTAAAAATGTAAAGGCTTTTCTTTCCCTAGGACAATCTGCTTGCTCGATACTAGAATCTTACTCAGCATGCTTCATGTTACCATAGATTGGTCTAATTTTCGTGCATGAAGCTAGAGAAGACATGACATTTTCGTTTTTTCATTAGCTGACCGTAGAAACACGGATTTGCTTCATCAGTTCCTTAACAAACTGAAAAGTGAAATTTTGTCAACCAAAAGTTACCACAAATAGTGATGTGTCTTTTTCTCACCTTTGAAAAGAATGCTTGTTGGGTGAACTTGCACTGCACACTTGTGAAGAGGAAAATATAGTTGTTACAGTTGCCAGTCAGTGGACTTTGCAGGATCTTTATTAACACACAATAAAAGTTACAACCTTACATTAATTCCTTTGACCAGTCAAAGTATGACGGCTAAAATGGAGAGGAAATTGGAAATTAATGTGTGAACTTGTAAGATATTTGGAATTATGTCCAAAGAATTGATTTACCTTCTTGAATCATATGCAATCTTTAATTTTGATAGAATGTTCTGTAATTCCCTTGTCATGGACATGTCAAATAGTTTTTTGTAATTCTTGTATATGCTGTTATTTGCCAGTGTTAGCTAACTATTGTCTTTTGCCTTGACATAATATACTTTGTAATTCTTGCTTTATTCTGGGGATTGCGTGCCAACTTACGTTGTGCAGCAAGTGGTTTCTGCAAAAGATTGGTCACGAAGGTAATCGCTTAGCTTGCTTGTTCTCATGTATCATTGCCTTGGAATTAATGTTGTACCTTGGGCCGGGCCCGGGCCTAAATGGGCCAAACGGGCCGGGCTTAACGGGCCTGGCCTGGCGGTCTCGGTCTCTAGCGGTCCCGGGCTTCGTGGGCTCAACGGGTGGAACCAGCCCATGACGGGCCTAAGCCCATATGGTCCTGTGCTAAACGGGCCGGGCTCGTGGGCTTAGCGGGCCTAACGGGCTTTTTGATTTCCGTTTTTTTAAGGCAATTTCTTGTAAATCATATCATGGCTATATAAATAATATATATGTAGAAATCAAATTATTAAAGTGCTTCAATACATAGAAATCAAATCATTTTTGTAAATTGAAAATAAATGGCTATTTGTGCAATATGGCCGTTGGTGGTCATTGGAGGTGGGGCCCTCATTTTGAATTT